TGGGAAAGGTTGAGGGCAAAAGAAGAAGGGGATGACAGAGAATGAGGTGGCTGGATGGAGTCTCCGAAGCAGTAGGGGTGAGCTTAAATGGACTCCAGCGGATGGTAGAGGACAGGAAGGCCTGGAGGATCCTTGTCCATGGGGTTGCGATGGGTCGGACATAACTTCACAACTAACAACAACAAAATAACATTATGATGCATCACACCGTACACAGAAAACAGTAGAAGATAATGTGGCATTAAGGCATGACACAGTCACTTTATTTTTCAATAAAGAGTTGCAAGGAAGGTCTGCAGTTGAACTGCTGTTGCAAACATTATTATTTTCATTACCTTTAGGCTGCAATTCTAAGATTGCTTATCTGAGTCAGCAGGATTTATTTTTGAATAATCATATAAAGGATTTTCTATGGTCAGGCAGGTCTTACATTGAAATTATATTTAAGAAGCATCTTAACAAAGCCTTGAAGCCAGACAGACCTAAGATGGCCTCATGAAAACAATTCATTACCAAACTATGTGTGGACATCCTCCTGGGATTTAATTAATAAGAGTAGTAGTACAATCAATCAGCCAGGCTGTTGATTTACTAGCTTACATCCAACAGAATTTGTATTTGCTTCGAGATGAATAAACACTATCTTCTGTAGACTAATGTAGTAATAAATCCCAGATTTATTATTTATTTATTCATTCATGGGCTAAATTGGAAAGCAAAACAAAAAACAAAAAAACCCACCCCTTAGCAGAAAATATTAATAGGAAGCTATTTCCATTGCATGGCATATGGCTAGCTCCACAGGAACATCAGGAATGAAGCTAGCTTGAGCTGCCTTGTTGCCTTGAGAAGTAACTAAAGGCAAAATACACCTAGAATCATAAAATGTGTGTGTGTGTGTGTATGTGTGTGTGTAGCTATAGCAATAGCACTTAGACTTATATACCGCTTCACAATATTTTACAGTGGTTTACAGAGTCAGTCTATTGCCCCCAACAATCTGGCTCCTCATTTTACCCACTTCGAAAGGATGGAAGGCTGAGCCTGGTGGGATTCAAACTGCCAAACTGCAGTCAGCCGGCAGAAGTAGCCTGCAGTACTGCACTCCCACCACTGTGCCATATATATACATATATATGTTGCATTTGTGCTGATAAATAAATAAAGGGAGACTAGTATAGATCTATTTCAAGCTATTTAGCTCTCGTCAGCTAGTCATACCCATACTGGGAATCGAATCTGGGCTGTTTCCCTTTACTTATTTATCAGCACAAATGCAACATACATACATACATACATACATACATACATACATACATACATACATACATATATACATACACATATGATATAATATTCTATTCTATTGGTCAATATAATAGAAAAATCCAAATAATATACCTACATTTCATTTCAAAAGCTTAGCACAGTGGGAGGTAGTGAGTGGTTAAAGAGCGGGACTAGCAACAGGCAGGATATACAGCTAGCAACCAATACATACTATAAACAGGCGTAGGCTGCTCCTGGTTCGCCCGGGTTCGAGCGATCCTCTAGCAAAGATTCGGGGCGGTTTGGCAAACCCCCAAATCCCCCTCCTGGCTGGCCTCATTGTA